TACATATAAAAAGAAAAAAGATTAAAGATTTCTTCAACAACCATGGAAAATATACATCCTCATTTAATTTTGTAAGAGTTGTAATGCTAGTTCCTCGTCCGCTTTTAAGTGTGCGTTTTCTATATCAAGTAATGTTTTTTGTTTTTTCTTTATTTTTTTGTATTCCTTCTGTGTTAAAAGTTTCCTTTTAAGAGGCCTGTAAACGACAAAAATATAAATACCAAAGATCAAAATAATATTACGAATAAAACAGGTATATTTTTATAGATATGTTTAGTACTAATTATTGTAACATATACCTATGTATTTTGCTTTCCTCTTCATCTTCCTCAGAGTTAGCACTTTCTGATTCCTCTTCACCATTTTTATCCTGTTTACCATAAATTTTATCTGGATCTGGCAACCATGATAAATCTGGTTCACTTTGCTCACTTTCACTAGCACTATCTTCATCACTATGTTCTACATCTTCTTCGTCATGATCTTCATTCTCATCTTCTTTCTTTTTACTGGCTTTTAATTTGCGTTTTTCTTCTCTGTGTTTTTCTTTAACTTTTTGTCTAAAGCGTTGCTTATCAAATTTATCTTCTTCGCGCAATATTTGTTTGGCTATTTCTATGTTAATACCAGATTCTACTTCTTTTTCATATTGTCTTGCTATTTCTGAAAGCTTATCTCTTGAAGGATCCAGTACTTCCTAAAAATTGAAAAATTTTGCAATTATATTTTGCAAATATATATATTATCATATTTTATCTAAAAAATTCGATCAAACCTCTCCATCTTCGTTGAAAGTAGTTTTCTTATTTGGTACTATTTTCTTCCTAAGAATTTTTTTAGCAACAGCGGCCTTTGTAACAGCTTTCTTTTTATTCGAATCCAAAATCTCGTCGTTAGAAATTTCAGGTATATCGTTAATATCAATATTTTTTCTCTTTAAAGTCAATATATCATCATCATCACTATCGTCTATATCAGAACGAAGCATAGTAAAATATTGTTGCAAAATTTAGAAATAATTTTATAACTACATGTAAATTCCATACCAAATGTAAATTTGTTTGCTTTTGTTTTATGATCTTTGATATTTTTTTCATCTTCATTAGAACTTTCATCGCTAATAGAATTCTGTTCATCTTCTTTCTGCTTGTAATTATCCAGTTTGTTATTTGTGCCTGATTCCTTGTTTTCGAAGGTTTTACTAGACATCTGTCGTTTTTGTTCTATTCTTTGTAAAAATCGTATCCTCGGAGGTATAGCTAATCCTAATGATCTAATTACAACGATAATGGCAATGTAAAGTAATATATCTTAACATAATGAGTATAGCTTAAATAAACAAACTGTTCTAATAACTTGTGTGTTTTTCTTACCTCGCATAAGCGTCAGTATTTAATGCACGAACATTAAAAATTTCTTTGTCTTTCATTAAAAAAACTGACTTTACATACGATATGAATGCTCTTTGAGCACTTTCTTTTAATGATACATCCCTCGCTAACAATGCTTCTATTTTGCGTTGAGGATTTTGCAACTTGTTTGGGTTTATCCTAAATAAAAGAATTTTATTGTTAAATACTATTGAATTGTTACCCTTTTTTGTTATTTTTAACTTACTGGATCATGGATATTGGTATTTTACGTTCCTTTAGTTTTGCAATGATGCTTTCTTCAGAAGATAATAAAACTAATAAAGATTCACCACCACTTTGAAACCTAGCTGTTCTACCGGCACGGTGTATATATGCATTTGTATCTTCAGGACAGTCCATTTGTATAACCCAATTCACAGCAGGAAAATCTAGAATAGACTGTGTTATAAATAATATCCAGAATAATTAATAGTTTTAAATATTTAACTAGCAAGGATTATTATCCAATGATATATATATATATATTGTTCCGAGTTGCGTCAATATATTAAAATACATATCAAAGAATTTTCTGCGGTTTCATCTGCATGTTATACTCAAGGAACAGATATATAAATTGGATAATTTCCTTCTAGACGCAATTTTTCTTGTAAACCTAATCCACGAGCTGCAATGTCAGTGGCAAATAAAACTGCAAATTGCTTTTTGCAGAATGTTTCATAAATTTCCATTCGTCTGAGTTGATGCAAGGTACCATAAAGAGCTAACAAACTTATGCCAGGTCTTAATCTACAGAACACTTCATATACATATTTGACCTAAGTACAAATAATGTTGTTATTTTTGTTATATTTCTTTATAAATAATTATGTCAAGTGTTATTGTACCTGCTTACAGCTAGAGAAGAATACAATAATTTTTTGTTTTAAATGATTCCGCAGAAAAGACCATATCATTGACAATTTATCTTCCAAGGCACATATAATATAACTTTGTTGAAGGTTTTCAGGTGTAGTATGAGTAGCATGCTCATGAACAGATATGTACATAGGGTCTTTTAAACTCAATCTGGCTAAATCTCTGACAGACCTAATGAAAGTTATAATAACAATGATTGTAAATATAATATCAATCAATTCAAGATTAATATAAATAATATTAATATACCCACTTCGTTTGAGTTGCAGAAAATAAGAGAGTTTGTCTTTCTGGAGGCAAATTTTCTATAATAGAATTCATAGTTTGTTCAAAACCCATATCTAAGCAACGATCAGCTTCATCTAATACTAACACCTGTAATATAAAAAATGAGTAAGAATATAACAATAGTTTCATATTATAATAAATCATGTACATTTTTGTGCAATTATACCTGCATATTTACGCAATCAAATAATGGATTTTCATCCATATGTTGTAATAAACGTCCTGGAGTACAAATGATAATGTTACACTGATCCATACGTTTCTTCTCAAACTTTAAATCTTTTCCACCAATAATAAGACCAGCGGAAATATCATGGTGTATCCCAACTTTTCGCAATGTTTCATATATTTGATAAGCAAGTTCCCTAGTTGGTGTGATGACAAGTGCTCCAACTCCATCTAATCTAGTCCATTGTTTGCAATACAAAATTTCCAGAACCTTTAATAATAAGAACATTTCATTTTTATTGTACATTATTTGTGTATACTTTTAATCCTTTGACTATAGAAGATGTCAGAAGTTTTGCATGGATAGAAATGTATCTTCCTCATTAATGGTTCTGGGTAAGTGCTGAGTGATTTAACACAGTCCTTTTACCAAAAGACACCTCTGCCTTCTTTACTCCATGGCCAGATGCTTCATGAAAACTATCATTGTCCTTTAAGATAGCGGACATCACGTTGCTTACAATATTTAAAGACTTCTAATTTTCTAAACATATGTCAATAAATGCACCCTATTCAATACCTATACAACTTCGAGTAGCCAGATATCATCCGGAACTCTATGTGACTTTAACATAATGTTCCGATATTCATAAGAAAAGTAGTTATCATGTCAGTATCATGTAGTAAAATAATATAGTTGTCAGTTAAAGCTTGTAGCAGTCAAAAGATTAAATGATAAGTTTAATCAAATTTCTTACTGGGATAAGGAATGCTAACGTTTTTCCACTACCAGTTTTTGCAGCTCCCAAAATATCATTGCCACGCAATGCCAATCCAATACTTTGCCTTTGTATGTCTGTCATTTCAATGTAATCATTTTCTGTTAAACCCTTTAAGGTTCTTGCTGATAGAGGGAGATCTTTAAATTTTGTTACCTTCGTTTCGTCAATCTATAATCATATATCGATTGTAAAAGCAAGTTACACATTCCATATTTTCTTACATATTTGTGGACGACATTAATACTTACGTCATCATATTTGGATCGTAGTTCTGTGATTATTTTTGTCTCAGGAACGCGTTTCTTTTTTCTATAAACTTTAACTTTATTTTTCTTAGGCATTGTTACGATTGTCACATTGAACACTTTAAATAGAAAATTTAAAAGGTTATGTTGACAATTCTTCGTGAAACCACATGGCAAGTGATGGAGCTACACAATTGTACAGTGGCGACACAGTATGCTATTTTCTGCAGTTAAGCCGAGGCGAGTTATAGGAACAGAATATTCAATAGGCTGAATTTTGGAGCTATTATTATGAATCGAGTATTCTATGTACATCATTTCTGCTACGAATATATATAATTTAATGACACCGAATATGTTAACATTTTCAAACTTTTAGAGGTTCAAATTAAAACTACAAAAGTAGATTATATGATAGAAATATTCCCATTTGAAAATAATTACAAAAAGTAATTAACTAGAAATTTCAATTAAAGAAGGAACTAATTAAATGGTAATCAAACCTGTGCACTACGTTAATAGAAATGTGGACAACACTTGATATAATAATAAATAATAAATATAAGAATAAAATTATAATAAATAATACCTCATAATTTTTTATTAAGATATTTATATGCTAATAAAGTCACGTTAATATTATAAAATTAATGTTATTATGTTAAAATGTTCAGAATGATAAATGTTTCACATTTTTAAAAAAGTGCTGCTGTCAATGTTATGTATTATATTAGGTCATCCATTTTGAAATCAGTTCACTATAG